GGCTGGCGGCGGAGGAGGCGCCTCGCTTCTCCCGGCTGCACGCCGCCGTCGGTGTCGTCATCCTGCTCTGCCAGCCCGCCTGGCAGGTGATCCGTGCGTGCACGTGCCCACATACATGCATATAGGCATGCCAACAGGCCTACATGTCTACATACATACATGCATGCATGCATGCATGCATGCATGCATACATACATACATACATGCATGCATGCATGCATACATGCATGCATACATACACGCATGCATACATACATACATACATATACACAGACAGACAGACAGACAGACAGACAGGCAGACAGACAAACAGACAGACAGACAGACAGGCAGACAACCAGACAGACAGACATACAGACATCTATACATACATGCACACATACATACATAAGTACATGCATGCATGCATTACATACGTTACATTACATTAAATTGCATTACATTACGTTAGGTTGCACTACGTTACATTACACTACACTACACTACACTACACTGCATTACATTAGTGCACACATGCACACATGCCTACATACATACAAACATACATACATGCATACATACATGCCTGCATGCATACATTACATGAATTGTCATTGCATTCCATTACATTCCCTTATAATATCATTCCATTCCATTAGATATATGAACAAATTGTCCCAGTGCAACCCTACCTATGAGTTGGAGCATCTAGGAACGCAACATCTATGCTATGCTATGCTGCGCTATGCTATGCGGCGCTATGCTATGCTATGCGGCGCTATGCTGCGCTATGCTATTATATGCTATGCTAGGGTATGCTAGGCTGCGCTATGTTATGCTAGGCTATGCTATGCTATGCTGCGCTATGCTATGCTATGCAATGCTGCGCTATGCTATGCTATGCTATGCTATGCTGCGCTATGATATGCTATGCTATACTAGGTTATGATATGCTATGCTGCGCTATGATATGCTATGCTGCGCTATGCTATGCTATGCTATGCTATGCTGCGCTATGCTATGCTATGCTAGGCTATGCTGCGCTATGCTATGCTGTGCCATGCTATGCTATGCTATGCTATGCTATGCAGCGCTGTGCTATGCTAAGCTAGGCTAAGCCATGTTATCCTGCGCTATGCTATGCTGCGCCATGCTATGCTATGCTGCGCCATGCTATGCTATGCTATGCTATGCTATGATTTGCTATGCTATGCTATGATATGCTGTGCTAATGCTGCGCTGCGCTAAGCTAAGCTGAGCTAAGCTAAACTAAGCTAAGCTAGGCTAGGTTAGGCTAGGCTAAGCTAAGCTAAGCTAGGCTAGGCTAGGCTAGGCTAAGCTAAGCTAGGCTAGGCTAAGCTAAGATGAGATAAGCAAAGCTAAAGGGGCGCAACTGGGGGAACCGCGGGGCGGATACTGGGGGAACCGCCTGGGGCGGTGTGCTCTGCCCGGCCCCTTTAAGAAAGAAAGTAAGAACCCTCTAGGCAGAGCCTAGGTAGGGAACATACATAAATACACGCATACATACACACATGCATACAAATGCATACACATGTGTATACATATATACATATATATATATATGTATATACATACATATATATATATATATATATCAGAGTGAGGGGGCAGAACGGTCATTCATTGTCCCTGGGTGCGTGGCTGAATCAAGAATGCGTGGTGATAATTCTGTTTGTTGCGTCGTTGTTCCCAACCATCCTGTGGTGTTGGGTCCTCGTTTTGAAGAGACGGTGCCCCGCGTTCCTCTCCTTCTCCTCCTCGCCCTCCTCCCTCCAGGGTTCGCATGCCTCCCCACCGCCCATTTACCTCTCACGCGTTTCGTAGCCCCATAGGGAGCTCCACCGAAGGCCCCAGTGGGGGTGTTCGCATGCGGTTCCCCCACCCAGGGCAGC